AGTTGTTACTATCTTTGTTACATTTTCATTGAATGTTATAGTACTAATGAAACTCGAATTAATCATTATATTGTTCAGCACTCTTTTAGTAGTTTCAATAAAAATCAAATGAACGAAGAAAATAAAAAAATAATGACAAGTAAAACTTATTGATAAATATTACGTTTCTAGAATAGATGTCCAGTGGTTAGAAATAAAATTCAAATAACAGATAAGTTTGTTGTTTTACATTGTAGGTAGACAAAAAAGAAAGAAAGAAAAAAAGTATAGAATCAGTCGTCGTGTGTGTGCGCGAATCCTATTACTAGACCATAACAGCCAATTAATCAACAGATGCCCATGGATAGAAACAAACGCTATACAGCGCAAGGACAATACTGAAATTAATACTATTTCTAAGCGAAAGAGGACACTGTTCTTCAGTAGTCATAATGATAGTAATAGACCAATGACACTGATATGCCAGCTCTATGATATGTAATCGATTCTTATCCTTTCAATGTTTCTATTACTTCTTTTTTCTATCTATTAGATATCTAAACATTAAGAATGACAGAGAAGATATACAATCTTTTCAGTATCTAATTAGATTTATGCTCTTTATCTATCATTTGATAAATGAACATTTTTTAAAAATAAATATTTTAATAATGCAAAATGCGTCTTTTTTATTGTGGAAAATTTATTACTCAAGCATATGTCTTTCTGTATGATTAGGTCAAGAGCACATATGTAAAGCTATTAGCTCGAACAGAACATCTAATAAATTAATCATTTGAAACTCTGTTGAAATTCTTCAAGGTTATTAATATCAAGCTTCTATATTGATGTAATGGATAGCATATGTCATTGTTCTTACTACATCAAAATATACTTTGTAGACAAAGTTACATATGATTGCTATATTAATTAATAAGACGATGAATCGTACTTTTATAGATTCAATGTAATCAATAGAAATTACATATAACTAGAAGATGGTTCTAGAATTATTCACTTGATGATACAACGTTTTTCTCTGCTGAATCGTATGATAAAGTTGTCAGAACAGATATCTCGTGCTTGATATTTACGAAATTCATTGACAAAATTGTGACTTATTTTGACTATTATGCAAAATCAACCTCAAGCTTTTGTTAAATAATAAAATATTCTGATTTCGAAGCTCTCGTTTTTTCTCTGTCAGCTATCCAAAAGAAATTTGCATTCACTTTCGTAGTCAATAACTAAAAAGTAAACAGCTTGATAAATTAGCATCTAATACTGTTCGTCACAAAAAAAAATCGCATGTAGAAATTCATATTAAAAGTATCCAATCAATCGTCTAATAAATTTAGATTCTCTTGCAATAAATGTAGTTATGAATGATGTTGATCTAAGTACCATTAGAACATCAAGCCATAATATAGTAAGTTTGTTAACAGTAGATAATATTTCAGTAAGATAAATTAGTGGATCACTTTATCGTGTCTATAGTGCTTTCTAAATAATATTACTCATTTAGTGTGCGTATAGACTTCAATAATAGCTTGATGAAATAGGAAATGATAGTGAGAGTATATTTATTTTGAAAACAACATTGTTTATTGAAAACAAGAGTCTCACAAATATAAGTTTAATGCTATTATCTCTTATCATTTTTTTTCTCGCGATAACACTGATTGATACTCAAGACAATTTTAAACTTTCTCAGAATCTTATTTACATAAGTCACTCACTTTCTAGTCATGTGTGCTTCAATTATAAACATTCTGAGCTATATTTACAATTCTCAAAACGATCTATTATATATATAGTCTGCTACAATTCTATAGTATCTATTGAAAAAAAATATAATTATTTGATTGAGTTTATCATTGGAACAACATATTTCCATTGATCTATTCATTATTCAATCGAATGAATCATTTTCTGGTAAACATCTATGCTTAAATGACTTCAATATTCTATATAAAGAATGATTTCATAAAAGATCGACAATGCATTTTTAGAGATACTCTGACTAATTTTAGACATACTTACGGTTTCATGATCTTACTTCTTCGATGTATAACAAGTAAATCACTTTTTTGTAAGAATTTCATCTGTATGACTTAGTTTTTATTCGTGTTCTGTTCGAAACTATCATTTCTGATAGTGAATAATTTTAAATGTTTTATTTTTAGAAGAATCAGCATACATTATAAAGAAAAGGACAAAAAAAAGCATACATAGGCAGTATTTGCAATCAGGACTGTTTTGAAATCAACCAATAATGGCACCACTCGACCATATTTCTTCATTAATTTTGTTCTCATTATTTTTGTACTGTCTCAAGAGCTGTTCACTCATTGCATTATCTACGTTTCATGATATACTCATTGTCATAAGAGATCATAAGAAGACATTTGTAAATGAATATTCTCATATCAATCGCCAGTTTTCCATGTATAAACGCTTTAACCTTCTTCATTGTCTTTGATCCACTTATCGATATATTCGTTTCCATCGGCATACTGTATTGTACCTTGATCGTAATTTTCTCCATTGTTCTAGGCTCGTTTCTCCTAATTTCTGAATCATGTGTACAATTTCTCACATTTTAATTGACATCAAATAAACATATTTTCTAGACTAATATTTAAGTATGTTAGTTATTGTATCTATCTTTATAATCGTGTATGTGAATATTGAAAAGTTATTATTTGCTGCTGACTCTTAATATCCTGAAAATTACCAACCATAATTAAATATTTCATTTTCTCATAACAATTGACTAATCAGTTGGACTTTTATTTGATTGCGTGACAGTAATGTCTATCAATGAGATCGCTAGTTTTTCTTCACGCGCATTCATCAATTCAAGCAAATGTACAAGATTTATTGATGAATAAGTCAGTGCATTGCTGTTAACACGAAGTCGCGTGCTGACACGAAGTGTAATTTTCTTCTCTTCCGGAAAATAGATATTAGTTATTTTGCCTTTTCCGTTCTTTGCGTCGATCATAAATTATTTGGAATTGCAATCTAAGAAACTTCTGACAACTCAGGGTCAGTATGAACGTGAGCTGAGAGTCCACTAAGTCATTTAATCATCTTCCTAGAAGTTCTTATTAATGTTATTATTGATATTACACCACATGTCTGTTGAAGGTTGATAGTTTTTTTATTGAGATTTTTCTAACAATTGGAGATATTCATGTCATGGTATCAAAATTGAACGGTCTTGTATTCGAAGTAATCTATTGAGTTCTCGACAAAGATTTGATTTCTTTGAATCCATCGTGTATAGATAGGATGCTGCTAACTCATCATGCGTAAGATGATGTTTCAAAGAAAAATGATATTTTCTTATTATTATTTTGAAAAACATGCTCTGATTCTTCGGTTTTAAGTACAATGGGTTCAAGATCTCGTCCAAGACGATGTGATGACAAAGCTCAAAACCTATAGACAGATAGACTTTATATTAGTATGTGATTAACATTGATGAACTTATGTATTTTTACATAAAGACAATGGCTTATAATTATATCGGAGTATTAAAGATTCAATTTCTAGAGACTTTTGTCTAGTTTGATCAGTAAAAGCAGTGAGCATAATATTCACTTTACCTTTTACTTTCTATTAGAATCTCATTCTCAGAATGAAAAGAAAGAAAATTCAGCTGACGTTAACCGGTACGTTTTGATTATCAGTATGATGAAGTCATACTATTTTAGTAGTCTATTACGTTATTTTTTTGCGGAGAAAAAGGAAACTCAGTCTAAGAAAATTTAATCATACAAAATAACAACAATTAAAAGAGTATCAAAACAGCAAAAGAAAAAAAAAAACAAGAAAGATGAGTCATTTTCTTCTGTCTGGGTACTTGTAAAAATAACGATTCGAACATCAAGCAAAATGCTTTCATCTTCATGTCACAAAAATGCTGTAGATGTTGTTCATCAAGGTTATTTGTATGAATATATAAAGCTATGATATTTTAAAAAGTAAAAATTTCACATATTTTCTTTAGTTATTTTTTTCTTCAACTTATCAAGCCTAGTTGTTATTGGAAAAGAATAAATCGTTTTGAAAATGTTCAACTGTTAAGTCAATCTTGATTCTTCTGAATTATTCACGATTAATCAATTTAGAATGATCTCTTAAGATTTTTCTTTGTCTTTAGACAGTAGTCGTAACAGTTTTTCATCATTAAGGTAACAAAACTCTTTATGAGAGTTGATGCACTCTTCACATTAAACAGCTTGCCTCGAACATATGCTAACTTTTATCTTGAGAGACAAATATGTTATTCGAGAAGTGAGTTATATACACGAAATAAAATAACAAGAAGTGTATACTGAGCATTGAATTCATAATAATTTTCACAAATTCTTATCGAAAACTTTATTATTTCGGAGTAAAGCTGATGACTTTGCAAGATTTATGTGAGAGAGATGTCATTAGATGATGTACACCTTAGTATTAAAGGTTAATTATTTCGTATCAAAAGTACCTCTGATAAAAACTGAGAATAATATTAGGACAATACATGCCAACTAATTAGTTTCTAAATAACAACACCAATCTTTGAATTTTTTTAAAAAGCTTCATCTCAAATTTGATATACTCATTGTGAATTCATTCAATTCTATCTCTAGTATATTTTCTGATAAAATGATGTATGATGTTACAATACTATGATATGTTAATAGTTTTTACGATAAAAAATATTTACATATAACCTTTGCAGGCATGAGAGCAAAAGTCAAGTGACATAAAAAAAAATTCTCATCTGATAAATGTTATAACTAAATGAATAACGAAAAGACAGATAAAATTTATTTCATAAGATAATAATTGATGTAGTCATATTTTATCATGTTTATTAATTATTAGAAAAACAAAACCAAGCTAGTTTATTTCATATTCGTGGTTGTCTAGATACAATGCTCGAAAAATTAAATATAAAGTAGAGAATTAGAATAGACATTCGTGTAATTGAAAATAATTCTTACGTTTCCTATTATTATTCAATGATGACTCGTAGACATTCAATATCTCCATCATCATTATCAAACATTCGTAGTACTACTATCTCTAAATCGGTTTCTATTACATCAGCAAAAACATCTTCACGTAATCCGTACAACATGTCTTATCTACTCAAACGTATGCGAGATGAACAAAACTCAAAAATTATGATTGAATCGCCTTCCCATACTATTCGACAGCAATTAATACCTCATGAATTTATAAATCCTGAACACAAATCATTACTTAACAATACTATTGTATTGAAAGATATTGACAAACAACAACAACAACAAACACTTATTAATACATCGATCCATAAACCTAACAAACTATCACGATTCCATTTTGATCGATTGAAACAGACGAAACATATTCATATCTTGGATCCAATAAACAAACAATCCTATAAAAAAGGTCAAAAAGCATTTAAAAGATTTTTCAGGTATTCATTCATATTCATATTCATGCTTGAGGTTAAATCTATATGTTAATATAGACAAGACGATGATGAAAGACAACAATTTAATAATGCTGCTTATTGTATTGCCTATTGTACAATAATTATTATCGGTAAGTTAACAAGTATAATAAAAATTTTGCTACATAAATAAATGAAAATATATAATTATTATTTTCTTACGATGAATCTCTCGAACATTTCTCATAGAAAAAATAAAAGGTATAACAATGGGTGGTTGGATTGGCGGTCTTTTCGAACTAATTTCTAGTGATCACAATGGTTGTGATAATGAACATCGTGGTCATTTTACATGTCAAGCTAAATATGCAACTTTAAATATTACTACTCATTGTATTAATATATTTTATAAAAATTCAATTCTGTATAATTCTCCATTTATTTGTCTATGTCGTTTTCTTAATTATTCTCAAGGAAAATATCGTGATTGTGAATTTCTTCATGCAAACATACAATATATTTAATAAATTCCTCTTTCGTTTGGTTTTTTTTTTTGTTATCATAATCAATGAAGATTTATACACACACACACACCACACATAAGAGATAAATTAACAGCTACATGAAAATCAGCCGGTTATTAAAATAAAATATTGGAATCACAAATTGTTTTGGTGAAGAAAATTTTATTCCATACCACTTGATGCGTCGCCTAAATAAAATAAAAGATTTTATGTAACAAAACGAAACGTGTTTTTCTTGTTAACATACCAACTGCATTTGGTCCAGTACGTCGAAAACTCTTTTTAATTTCTGGTCGAGCTAATTGCAGACGTTTTAAAAATTCATTTGTTTTATGACGCATATGTGCATGTAAATATGCCTAGAGATAACAAAAATAACATAAAATACATACGAAGTGAGCCAAAAGTTTCTACACAAAATATTTAACTATTGTCTGTGAATATTGACTAATGAGCTAAATATGAATCTTGAGAGGATATCAAAAAAAAGTTTTTTTTTTATAGAAAAACCTCTTAAATGGAACTTGTTTACAATATGTTATAAAATTTTATCAAACATTTTGAAAGATACCGAAAATGGTTCTTTGCAAAGTATTGAGATGTAGTAAAGACTTTTATAAAGTCTATTACAAGAAAAAAGACTATTTTTCTGACTTTCAAATAGGGAGTACAAAATGACTCTTCTTCATAACTCAGCTATCTTTTAGTAGGTTAACCAAAACTTTCTATTGTTGTGTTATTTTGTAGAGTAAAGATTATCCTTCACTACGATATACTTTCAGGACTTCTTTGATGTAGACAGGAAGCAGACTTGTCTCTAGCAAAATAAGACGTTTGCCTCGTTAGAAAGCTTTTGTCTTCTATAAGAATTTATTTATAGATCAATGTACGTCAATGACAGAAAAATTCTAAGTATATATTATGAGTGAGCATAAAATTTTGATTCTAATACATGACTAACGCATGTACATATGCAAATAAAAAATAGTCAAACATTTTTTGAAGAAATTTTCGGTCCATCTCTTATTTGAATTTATCGAAAACTTACTTTACAACATTTAATATGATAATGAAAATAATTTCGAAGTGTATGAATAAGATTTATTGTATTATCACGTTCTGCTGCTTTTGTATGACGTGGAAAAAGTACTAAAATAAATAAAATTTTATCTTTTGGTTTTTTTTTTCAAAAGAATTTATGAATACCGAAAGTTAAATAACCAATATTATCTCCTGTACGTGCATCAGGCATATCTTTTAATTCTTCTGGTGGTGTTCGATAACTAACAATCACTTGTGGTGCTTGTTGAAATTGTCGTCTTCGTTCTTTAAATTCCTTAAAAACAAGAATTTTTAGTTCTAAAATAAAAACAGATAAAATTTTTTCTTACTTCCATAAAAACTCGACCAATAATATTATCATCTGGATCTTTAAAAACAGTTGAAAAAATCACAATAACACGATCTGACGATGCATCAACATACATTGTTTCATCATCACGATAATGTATAACAGCTCGTTTATGATTTCCTTTTGCTATTTCTTGTTTACTTTGAAATTCAAAATATTTTTCAAATACAGCCGCAAAACAATTTCTTTTAAGCATTGCAATTTTACGAACTAATGGTAACCAAACTTCATTACTATCACCTTTCGGTAATTGACTATTAAAATCTAATGATAATGTTACATTATAACCTTCTAAAGGTGTAACAAGTAGATCACCATATTCACGACGAAGAACCTAAAGAAATAAAACTATTATTAAAACGAGGAAAAAAGAAAACGAAATCTTTCAACTGACTTCATCAGTACCATATTGTTCTAAATCACGAAAAAATTTTAATTTAATGCTAACTGTAAATGGTTTATCACGTGAACTTGTTACATGATAAACTGCACCATCAAAATCTAAATGTATTCAACAATCCTCTTTTTTTGTTTTTATTTATTTCTTTATACAATATCTAAGTTACATACCCACAACATCAGTTTTAAGTTCAACTAATTTTTCTTGTCGTAAAAATGTTTCAATTTGTATTGTTAATAATTCTTCGATTATACGATTATGAACTTCGAGTAAAATCATTATTTTATCAAAATTATTTGACTAAAAAATAGGAATAATGGAAGTATCTAAAGAGAAAATCATGAAACTATTTCATAAATATGAATCGTTTGTTGTCGACTCAGCATGAGAGATATTATATTGACCACAACAATGCGAGAATGATTCATGTATATTATATTCTCTTATATGTATTTGTATGGTAAACAGAGCCATTAGTAGATGTCCCTAGTTCTTGATGGCATATTTTAAAGGAATCTTAAATGATATTCTTTGTTTGTTAATTTGATTCTAATTCAAGAAATATTTTATTTGAAGCTACTTGATCAAAACCAAATTATATTGCACCGTTAGAGTAGATTAGTCTTTTTTTTTTTACATAGAGTGATATATTCGACGGTATGTCGTGATCGTGACAGTTTATATTTTTTCTCATTGATTGTGAATATGCATAAAATTTTTTGAAATTTTGTAGGAAGAAAAAACATATTACTTCTCATATTTGATTGCAAGATCAAATCTTTTCATCTTATCATAAGATACAATGCAAGAGTGATTTCTAGCAAAACTTAAATCCTAATCAGGATGGAAACGAACCCTATCACCAATTAGAAAAGGATCAATGTGTTCTTTCATACGGCGTCTAGACTATATGGAATTGGTTCGTATTGTTCTCCATTTGAACCCTAGACTAATGTGTTGCACATATAATATAAGTTCTCAATAGCTGAACCGCTAAAAAAATGACAATATCAACAACATATCAAAAAGAGATCACTTCTTTATGTCTTCTTCCTATTGTTCTGGAGCTTTTTACATAATTTCAGGATTTATTTCAAGCGAATAAAATACTATCGAAGATTAAAAGATTAAAATGAAACTCCTTCAAATACAGTGCATTCAAGTCAATTCTACAAATGATGCTGCTGTTGCAATTCCACATATGTTGTCATTATCTTTTGTCAAACGTAAATAGTCGTTTTCACGCCAAGCTGTTCCGTACGAATTCTTAATGGTCCAATACGGTAGTTCAAGTTCTTTATCGAAATCGTAATCAACAAGTGCTATAGTATGATCCATATATCCTCGACTACTCGAACAATTCTTCATTTTGTATATACCCTCTTTGTAAAACATGAATAATGGTGAATGGGTATCAAATCCGATAAAGATCAGTCATTTGATAGTAAGAGCTTTGACTAGAATTACTTCATTGCCAGAAGCAATCGATCTATACTGTAGTTTACCTAGATATATTTGGTTGGTATCATTTGTTCGATATTTTTCCACTTTGACTGGTATAAGAATACAAAGTTATCCTTTATAAAACATTGATCATATTAACGCTTCTAATCATGGTTTTGTTTGATAAAGTTTCGTTTTGCATCTCTTTTATTGGCATCATGACGATATAATTCGGATGGTGCACGACTAGCAATATCTTCATTTTCTTCGGAATCACTATCTTCATAAAAATGCCTTTTTTTCTTTGGCTCTTCGTTCAGACCTTTTCTGTAATGTTCCAACTCTTCCTGTGTCCAATCAGCATATTCATGCAAGGTCAATGAGAATATTCGAAATTTTTTTGTGATTTGATTCAAGAACAAGTTTGATATTTTCTTGAAAGATATGATTACGTTTTTCTTCGTCTTCTACAAGTTTATGCACAGAAACAGATAGACGAAATGATAGTACTTACCAGATGACGAATAGAAGGGTGTGAGTGCGTATGAGGAGTACTCTAGTGAATAACACCCACACCCAAACCCCACATGCAAATCTCGAAATGCCTTCTATGAAAAAGTTATACAGGAAATAAAATATAGACCATACTACCTAGCTAGCTACGAAAAGAATTTCACATTATCTAAGAAAGAATCCTTTAAAAGTTCCTGATTCTTGACAGGAAGAGTCATCTTAAGTCCGCCACTACATTACAATCATCTATAAGATGAATATTAACCTATATGAAAATGATTATCTCGTTAGGGTATACATTCATAGGAGTCCATACAATTCTTGGAATCAGTGTAAGTGTTTAAAATCAAACAAATACTGGTAATATCCAGTCATTCTATGAAAATCTCATGGCAATACTTGAGTACAGTTAGTAACAATAACAATGTTTTGCCATGTAATTTTTCTGATCTCTGAAATTCTAACACTTGACATTTTTCTTTACTATTAGAATTGTTGTTCAAATTATTTTTATTTTATTTTTCATTCAGTCTAAATTTGATGGTGATCCAGAAGATTTACGAATAGCGCAAAGACAAGACATTCAAACATTAAAATTAGTTAATCCTAAAAGATATTTCCGTACATAAACAATAGATCATTTACAGAACAAAAAGTTCCCTTATTTGATCTATCAGCTAATTTTAATAATCTTCACGAAGATATCACCGATGAATATGCTAGTAAAGAATTAGTTAATTGATTAGCTGACATTTATATCTAAAACTCATTCAGTTTTCTTTTTCTGACTCTAAAATTTCGAATTCATGTTTAGCACATAAAATTGTTAAAAATTTATCGCATAGCTATGCTTTCATGCATGGAACACCAGCAGAAACATTATCACATAATTGGACCACTTAAAATGATTAAATTATATATATTGACATGGCTTTTTGATTCTCTCTAGAAATTGTTCCTCAAAATAATTAAAGAGGTAATTCAAACTATTTATACCTCATTAAGTGAATTTCTTAGTCATTTTTGGCAATTATTTCAGCTGAGTTCATCATAAATAGAAGAAAGAGTTTAGTTTTTTTCAAGTTCATGTTTCCACTAGCCTTGTTTTGTCTTAATATGAGATTCATCGTGTTCATGAAACAATGATAAGTTTTCGAGAAGTACAAATAGAGATATTTAAAGAAAAGCATCAATCTATCTCTTCATAGATTTTCAGTTCAGTTTTTGGATCAATGGCTTTTTTGCTTCTATTTCATGAAGTAAACATGATCGATTATTTCCTCATTGATGTTCGAATGACAATGTTTGTATTAATTTATTAACATTGCCATAGATAGTCCACAGTAGAATGTTTGTTTCCCAACAACTAAAACGAGCAGATCGTACATCTTTATTCCACGAAAATCCATCATTGGGATACGATGACATTTTTCAATGATAAATCAACGTCATAATTACATATATATGAATCTAAGAACGAGATCACATTTGTCTATGGTTGACCTATACTAATATCTATCGAAGATTGATTCCTAGAAAAATGAATTTTGATACTTGCTTTTAACGAAAAAAATAATATTTCAAAACACAAATCTTAATTTTGTACAAGATTTTTGGCACATAATTGTATATTGAACATGCGTACATCCCATTTGTTATGTAGTACCTTTTTTTTATAGTAGTTACTTTATTACTGACAGTTGGTAGGTCAGACTTGTAGAGTTAAAATGTCTATCGAAAGTGCAGAATTTATCGTTGATGTGGTGAAATTAATTCGAACAAATAAACCTTGCAAAAAAATTGTCTCTGCTCATCAAATTTTTACCTCTGATAACAATTGTTCCCGTACAAGTTTTTTAGCTTTCCATCGTGCGTTCATTGACTTAGCTATTATTTTACATAAAACTGGAAAACTATCAAGTCTTAAAAAGAATGACATTTGTTACTTTTCATATTTTACAGATTTATCTTTCAAGTATGCGAATTATTAAATTTATTTTATGAACATAAGATTATACAAAAAAAAATAACTTTCCTAACAGTTTATGATGATGTTGGCTTATTCGAACGTCGAACAAAAAACTAAAAATAATCATTAGAACTCATGATGAAAAGATTCAATCAGCATACCTGTTGAAGTGCGTTTGATGTTTCATTAAAATTCTTCATTTGATGAAAACTATTTGCTAACCAATGAGGTAATTTCGATGGTATATTTGCTTTACTATATCGTTTATCAATTAAAAGAAGACAAGCATAATCACCACGATGTCGAATAGCTCGTCCAATACTTTGATTAATTGCTTTCCAACATGTATTTTCATAATAGGCTCTCCCAGCTGTTTCTCCAGCTGTAGTAGATTTTAATTTCATTGAATCCAAATAACGCATTTTTTCAACCATTTCAGCTGAACCTATATTGGGATAGGGCATACCAACAATACATACACATCGAGCTAATTCATCAGAAAAATTGATTCCTTCACTCATTTTACCACCGACAATTGAAAAAAGTAAACCACCTGTACCATTCTAAATAAATATTTCAATAGAAATGAAAAACATAAATACAAATTTTTGAAGAAACTTTGATTGATTTTGTATAATTCGTAAGAATAGTGTCAACATCACTTGAACGTTTTGGTTCCATAAAAATCTAATTATTAAGATAAAATATTAAGAAAAAAAAATTCTTGCAATGTTAATTTTCAAACCTTCTTCTTGGCCAAAATCTTATTTAGTACAAATGTTTTTTCAAAATATGTATAAGTTTTTTGTAAATGATCATATGAACAAAAAAAAACTACCAGACCATCTGGTATAGTAGAACAAAGTGATACAACAACACGTCCTAATTCATCCATCTAGATGAAAGTTTTTATTTATGAAGAAGGATAAAAGAAAAATAAAGAGCATCATTAATAGTCGTCTAACTTTACCATCGCTGTATTCGAACGATTGACAGCAGTAAATTCAAATTCAATATTTTGTGGACCTGATGGAAGTGCTATAGCGAGTACATTATCTGCTGGAACGATATGATCTAATTGAGCAGATGAACAAGAAAAAAACATAAAATATAGAGAATTTCGTTAATAAAGAGATATTTAACTGCATGATAATTGAAACAGTTTTTCTTCGGGTTGACCACAGGCAAGAAAAAGATGATCGATAAATTCATTTATCTATTAACAAAAAAATAAATAAAAATGAGAAATGACGAGTAACGACATTAGTTTATTGGTTACAGGTCTCATTGTTCCGCCTATAAATCAAAATAGAATAATCAGTTTTTATTTTTAGTGAAAAAGAAAACTACACATAAAATTACCAGCAACAATAACCGAACGTGCTTCATTAACCATGTCATGAAAAAATGATGAAGTTTTAAGAGCAAAATATTTGATTGAACATTGTCCAAGAGTTTCTAGAAAATATTTAGGATAGAATAAAGTATGATAGTGAATGTTAAATAATAAAACCTTTCATAATAAGAATAATTTTTCCATCATCGCGTGGATTTGTTAGTGCTTCAAGAAATTTTGCAAAAATAGCAAATGAGTTCGAGATTCGTTGTTCAGTCGATTCTTTAAATATAAAGAAACAATTCAAGTAACAAATAAACTAAATTTAAAGCATGAATTCAAATAAATAATTCCGTCAGATATTTAAAAAAAAAGTTTTGGCCGTCAGACTTCTTCTTGGAGAGGAGTTATAGGTATAGAATTGCAGGAAGGACGTCGGTTATTTTTATTATTACTTTCTCAAACTATGATTCCGAGTATCCGGAGTAGATTTGTCCATGAAACTCTACAAGAATATATAAATATCTCATGCTCATTTCAAAAATAAATTATTCCATATCGCCATATCCTATCTGAAGATCTGAGGACCAAAAACGTTTTTCTGTTTGTGAAGGTTTTCTTTATATCAGTTCATCAGAAATGCTGTGATGATTATTGGTATACAAGAATCTTTAATAAATCTACTAAGGATTGTTGAAATAGCGTCATTATATCGACCCTTTCATATTGAATAGTAGACTATTCTAGGAAACAAGAATGCATGTTTACAATGAGTTTCTATCATACAGTCAAGAAGTAACCTAGACCTAAGAATAGAGACCATTTCTAAGTTTGGAGCAAGCAAAGATGAAAACTATTGATTATTAAAAAAAATGAAGAGCATCTATAAATGTAGCGAATTGAATTTAAAAACAAAATTTGCATAAATTTGTCGTAAAATATCTTACGGAGCACAATATCTATGAGTATTATACATTTTTCAAGGATTATAATAAGTATATAAACTTGTAGTACATCAAAATTTTCATAAACCGTGATTTACTATATACCATTTGATGCACCGAAATTTAGCTCAGGATAGGCCACTAAATCCAGCGGGTCTTCTATACAGTAAAAAAACCTCGACAATTTCATATTTTCAATGTAATTACGCAGTAGAAAAATATTTATCACGTCCCAAAATAAAAAAATCAACTTGACTACAATCTTCTGCATATGTTTAAAATATTTAAAAAACGAATCGACTCACTTGCCTCATATAAGATCTTGGCAATTCTAAATACAGAACATTTTTGAAAAATATGAGAAAAGTTCTTAAGAGCATCAAATTATCTCTGGAAACTGTTAAATAAATTATTTAGCAAAACAATAAGTCTCAATTCAATTATTGGATGTGATCATCACTTGATTAATACAAGGAAAACTGCCTCGAGTGATTTAAGTTCTTTATTGTAGTTATTGATTGTTGATGCAGAAATGTATATTATTTCTTCGTATACCTTTACTTAATTGTTCCTCATCAAGAACATTTGGTTGTGATTGTTTCTGTGCTTGTTTTTGTAATAATTTCTGTAATGCACTTTCATTTGTTTTCTTTTCTATCAGAGGTATATAATTGAAATATCAATACTTAATGAAACAAATATGCATTTTACCTTCTGATATGTGATTTTTATTTACGGGATATTTTGACATAAAACCATGTAACTATATAGAACGAAGAAACAAAAAAGTTTAATATGGGTTATAATATATTTGCAAAGAAACCTTCTTAGTTATTTCATTTGTTTTGATATAATCAATAAGTTGAAACAGATTAACATAAATTCCAGCGTCCGATAAATAATCAATTAAATCAAAAGTTGAGGAAGTTTCTATGATAGATTAATTTGTTAAAACACAACTCTCAAATAAACAACAAATATCGATGCTACCTGTTTTATTTGATGAAACAACGAGGTTACTCCATTTTTCACTATCATATATTGTTGACAAATTTTCTTGTGCTAAATCGACAATACACAGACATAGTTAATTTTAAAAGAAAAACCTCTCTATTTACAGCAAAGTGTTTTGATTAAATTGATTTGTACATCTAATAATTGTTTAATTGCAAGTAAATTTTTTGCTGTTAAACGAGCTTTATATTTTTCATGATAACGTGATAATTGACCATAGGAATCGATTAACTAGATTTTAATAGAATTTCTAAAAAAATTGAATTTTTTGCTTTATTTAATTTAACATACTTGATTTCCATTTATTTCATTTGAGTGCATGGCACATATAGCATCCGGTAAATTATGTGCTTCATCAATAATTACAACATTATCACGCATTTCAATTCCACATGCTTCTCGTGTTGATTTATGCATTAAAGTTTGATAGGGTAAAACAACAAGATGAGCAGCTGCAATAGCTGCTCGTGTTGCATAATAAGGACATGTATTTAATTCACGACCAAGTTTAACAACATCTTCAATATCTTGTACATCACTCTGAAACAGAAACCACATATTATTAAGAAAAAGATCATGCAATAAAAATACATAATCTATGTCTAAATTATTTGTCAAAAAGTGTTATTTAACCTTTTGCCTTATTCAGATATATACAGACTAAGCAAAACTAGTAGAAAAAAAAGAAAATAGTCACAACTAATTTCTGCAGTAAACATGTGTAAAACTATGGCTCTATACATGTCTACTGAGATGAAGCAGTTACTGAATAAAGAACATGATTGGCAACAGAAAAAAAATAGATGAAATCATGTTTGTCAACAAAAGTTTAGCTAATCTAAAATGATTTTGTGAAACAAATAGGAAGATATCATCAGAATAGACAGCTTCTTCATTACATATTCTAAGTAAATGTGTGTCTTATCAAAGGATTTATTCCAATAATATGCAAAAATGAAAAAATGACGACTAGATAACGATGAAGAAGTCATGTCCAGTAAACAAGAGGAACAAAAGCAATCGAGTAATAACGGAAACATTTTATTGTTCATAATGATAAAGCAGTTTATTCATTTCGAATATGAATATAATAAATTGATTTGTGATGCATGAAAAATTTCATTTGAAAATTCACAGAGCTGAGGATATCAAATAGTCTCGCATTTCGGTGCCAGTCCCGATGAAATTTTATTTGTTTTTGGTCTCACACATGTCTACTCTAAACGCATATGTCAATTTCATTGTGATATGTTTGCTCTTTCTCACATCTTCTTCTGATAAGATGTATTTGATACAATTAAGGCAAAATCAATACGTATTCCAAGTTCTTACTGAACTATTCTATAGATAATTAGAATGAAAGGAAACTATTTGTGTTATTTTAAACGTACAAGAATATCATTAGATAAACATTCAACTCGATCATGTTGTAGAAATGAACAACCACAAGCTGTTTTTTGTCGTTTTTCTTTCGTTGTTTTTTCTAAAATAAAGTATCAAAATAACATTGAATAAAAAGATTTATTTCAAAATATTTTTACTTTCTTTTTTTTGTTTTTGTAAATCAAGACATTTTTCATTAATTAATGTTAATGATTTCAATTTAAGTACTGATTCATTAATACATAAATTCTAAATAATTAAATAACTATCCGAAAGAATGTTTTAAAAAATCAATACTTGACGTGATCCAAGTGCTACTAAACGTAATTGATCAACATATTTTGTTTTTTGAACTTCACCAATAAATTGCGATATTTGTGAATGTGTACGGGTGCAAAAGAAAATCTTAAATAAAAGAAAATTTATCTTTTTTAATAAGTTTCCCAGTAAGACTATTTTACTTTTTGGACATGAACTTTTTTTTCTCGTAAACCTGCTGGATCAGTTTTTGTTGGTGAATCAATATTATCAAATAATATTTTACGATCATTATCTTTTATAATTAATTCTTCATCACTAAAATAAAAGAACAGTTTAATAGATTAAATATTTTCTTGTTATACCTTAATTCATCATCATTATCGATTTTAAATTGATCTTTTGATAAAGATGAATCATCACCATCAGATTTTGAAAGTAATTCACTATTAAATAAATCTCGATATTTTGCATCAAAATCTCGTTTCTACATGATATTATGCAATAAAAATGAATTTACCAAATGATAAATTTACCGTTTTCTTGATATTAGCTGCCAATGTATTCTTTGCAGCATTTGCATATTGATCTTCAAGATCAATTTTAACTTTTAATTCTTCCTAATTAGAAATGAGATTGATAGATGTAGAACTACAGTTACATTCTCACAAAGAACTATTTTCTTACAAAAGAAATTCTCCAATTGTTCAATTGCTTTTCAGTCAAGATTAAATGCATTATGTAGATCCAATTGAGCTATAAATACCCTGAGCAGAGTTTGTACCCGTAGCTTATTGTTACGGAAATATTTCACTTTTACAATATTTGTTAAATAAATACTGTGGCCCTCCCTCGGAAACACCAGAAAAACTGGTTTTCGAATTTTAACTTGAAACTTTACATAGAGACATGCATTAGCCTGAATATTTTTACTTATGAATATGTCAGATCTTGTTGCTGTTTGTATATCTTAAGATACAACTATAGTGATAGCGTGTCTTGTACATCGTACATGTAAACCGACAAATTTGGTGTTCTTATCTCAGGATTTGAAGTAAATCAAAAGACATGAAACTACCTTTGTTCATGCCTGTCTCTATGTAAAGTTCATTCGAAATTCGAAAATCAGTTTTTCTATTGTTCTCAAGAGTTGCAGAGTATTCATAGCTCATTTTGTTCTACCGAATGCACCTAGCGTCGACTAAACAGCGATTGAATAGTTGAAAGACTTCTCTTGTTAGATGAGAAAAAGCAAACTTTATTAAACATACTCGTCGTTTTTCTCTTGCGGTTTCTTCTTCTTTGCGTTTCATTAACCGTTTTAACCAATTATCCGAACTGCAATAATATCATATTAACAACTAAAATAATATTTTATTCATGTACCTCGTTTCATTTTTAGTTTCAATTGGTTTTAATAATTCTTCGTATTCATCTTTCCATGATTGTATTTCATCAAATAACCATCGAAGCGAACCACATATTAAACTCAAACTTTTACCCTGGAAAATATTGAGAAGCAAAATTCAACAACTAACAATAAATAATAAAATTTACAGTGCCCGTAGGTGATTCGAAAATACCATGTTTACGTTGTTGAATAGTTGAATAAAGACTACGCATAAAATCAATTTGAATTTGATATGGTTCGAATGGAAATCCGAATGAAGCTACTTCGACTATTAGAAAAAAGAGAAGATATTTAATTGGATAAGGATCGTGTTTTTGAAAATTACCTATCGGAATAATTGGATCTGATTTTTTCAAAGGAACATCGTCACAAGCAGCAAGTAAATCATCATCATTAATATCATTATCATCAAATTTCGAAGATTCTGTAGTTGTCATCTAGAAAATAATTCTTTGATCAAAAAAAAAAAAGAATAAAATAAGACACATCCGTGTGTAATTATTTATCAATTATTGTTATAACATGACTGAATACAATCAAATTTAGCCATTGCAAACTCTACTTCAATGACAATCATTAGATTAATTTCATCAGTGCAATTAGTTCGTTTACTATTGTCAAGAATATTATCTTTGTCTTGACTGAACTAAATACGACGATGAGATAAGTAGAAGATTAGTTTTTGTTCTTTGGTTAACATACAGAAAGTATTTAACCATAGAAAAGTGAGATGTGAATTTGTGTATTTTCCTTTTCATTGATTACGAATATACTTTTATAGAAAAATTTACTATGTAATACCAGAGGGCACCAGTATATGGTTTAGATTTATATTTTGTTGCTTTGTTTTAATTTCAATTTAAAAGAAAATTAAATTCGTTTTTAATGCATCTAGATAATGAA